GATCACCCCACAGAGTGTTAACAATGTTAACAAAGAACTGTTTTTTTTCTCCAAACAAACAAAAACATACAAACTAGCCCCAACTCTTAATATGAAAGTAAAAAGAAAGAGCCTTTTATATATAAGCAAAAGTATCACAAGCACCATACACCATGGTCTGGTCCCATTTTTTGACTGGTAATGCAAAGAAAAAGAAAGAAATCATGCTTAATATTAAAAACATTCAAAGAACAGGAGACACTGCAGCTGACTGTCAAGCCCCTATTCCATGCTTCCATCGCTGGTGTGAAATTTCAGTTTCTAGTTATTGCTCAGTTAAGGAGTTTCAGTCATTTAAACTGAGCAAGCATTGCCTTGCCTTATGCTTGAAATGTACAGCTTACATTTCCTTTACTTTTCATTTCTTAATAAACTTTTATGTTCATCTTCTTCAGGTAAATTTCTCAGGAGGCTGTGACGGTTATGAAATTCAGCTAACTGTGGAAGTCCTGACGAGTGTCTACGCTGAGGATGGTGGGTGCTTTGATGGGGTGAGACACTGGAGTTGATCATCTGGTGGCTACTGAGAGCAGAAGAAGGGTTGGATGTTGGTAAGTGTAGTTGTAAAATATCTGGACTGCTGTACATACGGTGGTTTCTTTGAGATATGTGATCAGGTCCTGGAAAGCTGTTTTGCCTTTTGATGATAAGCTTTGAACCCCAGCTTTTGGGTAAGTCATCAGATTTTGGAGTTTTAAAGCTGGTTGAAGCTGAAGATGGGTTTGGATTGTACACACTGGTCGACCTCTTGTTGTCAGGGCCGTGAGTTAAGAGTAGTTTGGAGGGTTTTGAAACGTCTGCTGTGGTTGTGGAATGACATTGGACAGTTGTTCCACTGTTGTAGGAAACAACTTTGCTGTCCTGTAGTTTTTGCGTCTCATCTTCAATAAGAAACCCAGACTGTCTTTTCATCTGTCCAATGCTGCCATTTACCGAGCTGTCTGTGCTGTTAACTCTTGTCGGGTGGAGAAGGCTTTGATTTGATGTCTTTCTGTTCACTGGCTGCTTTACAATAGCTGTGTAAAATAAAATAAAAAAAGCTGAATCATCTTGTGGCAAATAGAATTAATCAAACTGTATAGATGGCTATAGGAAAATTATCCAACCTTTCACTTGATTTATGACTTCAGTAAAACAAAAACAAAAAAAACTATGATCACTGTACAGACAAAGGAACTCCAAGAAATACACAGATCAGGCAAAACAATATGATCACCCATTGAATATTGTTTTGATCCCCTTTTCACTGTCAAAACATCAAGATGTTAGAAAAACATCTTTCAAGTCGTGGAAGTTGTGAAGTTGGTCCTCCATGGACTGGACTTGTCCAAACACATGTCACAGATGAACAGATTGGATTGAGCTTCATAAACCATTCATGATCCGTTTTTTCTTTATTACGTTGTGTATTATGTTGCTAAAAAGTTCAGGGAACTATTTCCACGAAAGGGGTACATGGTCTGCAAAAACAATTCTTAGGTAGGTGGTACGTATCAAAGTAATACCCACATGGATAGCAGGAGCAATGATTTTCCAGCAGAACAGTATAACAGGATCTGCTGCTTGCCTTTTTCCAAAAGTACATTGTGGTACCAGGTGTTTCCCAGGTAAGCAACTCAACACATGGTTGGTGCTATAAGTGGTGGACATGGGTCAACATGGGCACCCTGAGTGGTCTACAGCTATGCAGCCCCATATCCAACAAACTGTAATGCACCTGTATTCAGGTGTATGTATTCATACACATTTTATCAGAAACAAAATTAACTTTAATTTGAGCTCCAGTGGCTCGTCTGTTGGATTGGACCGCACATCCATCAGTGAGCCTTGGCTCAACATGAACTCGTTGGTGCTCTGACTTCGTTATCTAGCCATCACAATTTAGGCCCAAATTAACTTGCTCAAATGCCTATGCATACCAGTTGTTCCTGCTTCTGACATTAAGTTTGAGGACAAAATGTTCACTTGGCTCCCTAATATATCCCACCCACTTACTGGTGCCATGTCAGTGATCATTAATGTTATGCCTGATCAGTGTATACTATTGAGTCAGTCACAAAACTCCTGAGTTTCCACCTTAAACACATGTAATTCTGTCTTTGTGTTCTCTATGTAAAGAGCAACTACATTTTTCTTCATCCTTAAAACAACAACAATATAAAATAAAACACCAAAACCACTTTGCTGTCATTTCAAAATGTTTCTCAACTGCTCACTGGCAGTCTATATCAATGGCCCTTGCTTTGCATTTTTTTTGTATAATTCAGAACTGTGACTCACCAAATCTGAAGCATTTTTTGCATGAAAGGGCAATGAATCCAGCTGCAACTAAGAAAAACAGTCCTGTTCCTCCAATGGTGATGGCGATAGTGTGAGGATCAGACTTCATGCACACACCTGAAATGACATAACATTGTGTTGACATATGAACAGATAATTCATATTATACTTAATATAAAATACCATATATCTGCAAGTTTTTCTTCAAGTCTAATGAGTCCTTATTGGTAGGAAATAAACACCCAGTGCCCTGCCAGGTTTCTTTATCAGGCTACTAGATTGAGACAATGACACGTGCTAAACTGTACTGCCAACAAACTCAACAGGACTCCAGACAATGTCAAGAATAGAGGCGATATGCAAACTGGCAAGCATGTGGTGCAGAGGCCGTACATAGGTTGTATTGGAGTAAAGATATAATTTGTTATCATGATCTCTAAGCAGCACAGTGGCACGGTGGTAAGCACTGTTGCCTCACAGCAAGAATTCAATTTCACCATCAGGCCGGGGTCTTTCTGTGGGGAGTTTGCATGTTCTCCCTGTGTTTGCGTGGGTTCTCCCCAGGTAATCCGGCTTTCTCCCAGCATCCAAAGACATGCATAAGCGGAAGAGAATGGATGGATGGATGGATCGGTCTCTAAGTATAGATATTTTGGCTAGAACTACATTATCAATCACAGGTGTGTTCTGCGGTGCCGTTGCAAGGAAGGCAGATGCACCTGTGCATTGCAATCAGCCTAGAATCTGTGTAGGGTCCTATGTTTGGGGTGCATTGTTGATGTGTATGGCTGGCAGCCAAGCGTGTACAGCAAGCGTGACAGAGATAATAAAAGATGCTGCAAAGCATGAGGGTACACCCAGATCTAGTGTGGATTCCTTACAGCTTAAAATAAAGACAACAGTGGGTTAGGGTGTCAATCCTGGTGTGAAGTGACATGTGGAAAGCAACAAGAGAGCAAATGGTAAACATAGTGGTCATCTGATAAAACTCCACACACGGTAATTTATAGAAATCCCAATAAAACCTACACATAAACCCCAAATAGATAGCAAATGCATTAAAAAAATGTGAATATGGGTGTTTGAATGCACACGTGAAGATCTGGCATACCTGGTATGAGGATCTTTGTTTCCCTGGTCTGGTTAAACTCTGGTTGATGAACTCTGCAGGTGACACTGTTTGACAAATACACAGTTTATAACTCACATCATATAAGTGAAAATCTAATTTTACAGTTAGTTGGTTAAACATAATCTGCAGTATTGTGCAAAAGTCTTGAGCCAGTCTACGTGCAATAAATCACTGCACTTTTTCCCCTCTAAAGAATTATATGGGGGGGGGGCACACAGTCTGAACTCTCTTAGGCAATGTTTCTTGTCATTTCTTTAGGTAGTCTTCAAGAATACTCATCGGGGTTCCTGAAGGTCATTGAAATTCTCTTTTGGATGTTTATTTTGTGTTGTGTCATGATGATCTCACAGTGTGAATATAGGGGTCCTGGCTCTCAGGAGGCTAGTCCACAGCAGATAGGGTTACACTGCATGAGACCTACTCCTGACAGTTACTTAATGAGATTAAAGCCAGAGAAACAATGAGTTCTGACGCTGCGTTTTCCTGTTGTCCAATCAGAATATAAAGAGAGAGATTCAAGACTTTTGCACAGTACTGTAAAAAAATTAAAAAATGCTTATCCAGTTATTAATGTCTAAAAAAATATGTATAACCTGCTGGTAGCTCTTTGCAGAGTGGCTCTTCGTGTCACAGTGAAACATCCACAGGCATCTTGTTCTCCTTTGGGGTTTTCCCCATAGATGTTCTTTCCATTGTCATCCAGAAATGTTACCTGAGGCTCTGGCAGCCAGCAATTTGCTTCACAATGCAGAGTTATGGCATCACCCTCCGCTGAAATCACTGAAAGCCTTGGCTCAGAAACAGCCACTGTAAAAACAACAAAACCAGAAGGTGTGATCATTAAATCTGCCATCCTACGCACCTGTCCTTATTTCTGATAAACCTGTTATTGTTTTTATGTTTAAGTTACATCTATGACGTCAAACCCACACTTTATACCACTCTTGGCTTCTGAAGAAGAATGAAAGACACTCTAAGTGATACACACAGAAAATACAAACTGCTTTTACACAATTAAATTAAACTATTTATAGACAGTGTCAAATCACAACAGCAGTTGCCTCAGAGCGATTTAAACTGTAAGGTCACGACCAGAGATGGGCAGTAACGCGTTACTGTAATCCGATTACTTTTTTCAAATAACAAGTAAAGTAAGGGATTACTATTACAAAAATGGTAATTAGATTGCCGTTACTTTCCCGTAGGAACACTGCGTTACTAAAACAGTGATTTTTTTTGCGAGAATGTCTCATGACAGTGACGTAAGCAAGTGCGACGTTTATGACAACAGCTGTGTGCAGATCAACAATGGATAATATATCGAGTGCGGGAGAGAGTATGAGCGTGCAGCGTTTAAAGTGTGGAAGTACTGACCTTACTTTGAGTTTGATTCCATAAAAAGTGACAAAAACATTAGTGTCCGTTGTGCGTGGGAAGAAAACTTCTTTTTACAGCAAAA